AACTAGATGTACGTAGTTTGCCCAGGCCCCTTTAAATATAGCTATTAGATCTACTGCTCATCAGTTTTGAAAACATTACCTTTGAGAAATTTGTCATTTGAAGGCTGCAAACTAGGCTTGCAGTCGTCTTTCTGAAAATTCAAGGGATGTTATCTCTTTTCAATGAATCACACTGGGGAAATCCCCTCCTAACTGATGTATGTATTTTCATTTCCTGCACTACATTTCTTCAATCATCTTATCAGTACAATTTTTGTCAGGGTTACGAAGGGAACCTTGCACCTTTGTCAAAACTAATCTGCTGACAGAAATATTATGAGACCACCTATGATTCTGCAGTGAGAGCCAAGAAAAGGACACAGAGGCACATACTTCTAAAAGAATTATTTAGCAAAAAGATGTGTGTGCGTATCATATTCGAGTGTTAAAAGATGTCCTCCTGAAGCATAATATAATTGAGGAGTCAGGCATTTTGTAAGGTGGTTACTCCATGTCAAAGAGCAAAGATATTTAGTCTCCCATCAACAACCAACAACAACAACAACAACAAACCCCACAACCAAAAAACCCAGCTCCTCCTCCAGCAAAACCTCTGCTTATCTGGAGCTCAAAAGGAATCTGCAGATGTATACCCCCTGCGTGAGAACAAAGTCTTCAGTCACTGGAATGCAATGCTGTAAAAACAAATACTACAAAGCCTGGTAACAGGGGGATGTTTCACTTGCATATTTTTTTGTGACCATCTTGGTTTGCAGAGAAGGGGGTCCCCAACGCATGTGAGCCAGCAGGATCTCTTTGTACTAGGTCGCTGTCTGTTTGGCCAGATGTCTTCCCAACAGTGAGACAGAAAAAACAGAGCTCTTATTAAAATAAGTTGGGGAAAGGAATGGGAAAAAAAACATGTGTCCAGCGAAACGAGGCACATTGTGTCCCATCTGATATTTATTAAACGTTGATCGAATCAGCAGTGAGAAATGCCCATCATGCGGAAGTGGCCCTGGCTCCCTGGGTTTGGAAGTTAGTGACAAATGTCTGGGAGCAGACCAACATTGAAAACACGTGTAGAGGACAGGGAGAGGAGTGCGCTGCGCTGGGAGCAACAATAACAAACGGAGAAGAGCTGACTTCAGCTGAGAACCCCCCTTTGCAGGTTTTACATATGTTCTATCGATGGAAAGAGCATTGAGGGTCTTTCCCTGTACCTCTACTCTATGGCTTTCTAGATGAGAGGTTACACATCTCCTGGAAAAATACTGCATTTTATGTAAGCCATGAAAGCAAGCAGTCAAGTGGGTAAAACTGGGGAAGTTTTGTCAAATTAAAGCCCAAGCATGGACTCCTTCGAGCCTTGACTCTCAGCTTTTGTGATAAACCTGTATGATTTTATACTAACCTGCTGGGTTTTGTGTAATCACAATGAGGATTTGCAATCGTTTCCCATCTGTTGTTGCTTAATGTTTTGGCTATCACATCTTTTCAGAGCAACACCTCAATAAAAGTAAGCGTCCTCACAGCACAAGCCACACTAAATGTGTCTCCTGTATCAGAACAATCTTATTTGGGCTTGGTCCTTAAACAAGGTAGTGGGGAAGAGGAACAGGGCAAGTTGAAGCCAGGCTCCGTGCTTGGGGAGGTTGTGGAGCCCTGATTACGCTGTAATTCATCCCTATACAGAGAGGGTTGCATTCCTGGCTTTTACCTTTGCTCATAGCCTGGATTATTTAACTGCACTGAAGGACATCAGAATGAATATTCCAAATCTTTTCTTCAACGTACCTCTATCTTTAGTAATTTTTATATGTTTAGTAAATTAGAAAGCTGTTACTAGTAGCAGAGTTAAGAGCTATGTATTTGCAATAAAGAATAAATTTAATAGCTCTGAAAGACTTTACTGTGTCCATCTCTAGGTAAAGGAAAACAAAGGAGCCTGTTAGAGCACCCTGGCTTTTTACTGCAGCCCTGGTCCTGGGACACGTAGATGAGGGTAGCGGGGCTTCGATGGCAGTCAGATGCGTTTTTAAGCTGACAGGCAGAAAGTGCCAGCAGGCAATGCAATATACAGTTCCAGCCCAGCTTCGTTAGTGGAATCACTCTAGCCTGTATGATCGCTTTAGTACGCTGTGTTTATGTTATTGATACCAACAATGCTGGACTGTTAAAGGATGGAAAGGTCTGGCTTTTGTTGGGGTGCTCTTCTGATGTCAGTTTGAAATACACTGAAAGTAAAAGTTCTGAAAAGCCAGTGTTGTTTTATTGAACCAGCGATAGAGAGGACTGAGACAAGTGAAACAAGATCCTGATGAAGCACTGGAACATACATGATGCTAGATGTTGAACTGCAATACATCCAGTGACATCAGTGAAGTTTCAGCTCATTACACTGCACAGGAAGCCGGAGTATGGTGACAGAAAGCAGGTCATGTCATAAAATGAGTAATTTTAGTATGAGACTGTAATCAAGTGAAACTTTTCTATGTGCAGTTGCTGTCAAAGGTTTTGGTTTTTATTTCTGCCTTTCTCTGTGCTTTGTACCTCTGCAGTCTATCAGTCTTCCCAGTTATGGATCTGGTCCTGCTCCCATTAACATTAAAATAGGGAGGATCAAGCTTTCTGTTATCTGGGTATTTAGAGGTTGAATGTGATGTGCTTTTTGCCCCAAGCTCCTTGTTTTTTGATATATGGGATGTTCAAAGACTTAGAGGATTGGAATCTGAATTTTAAACCCTTCGGAGGAGGAACCTTGCATTCAGCGCACAGGGGCTCAATGAACCCATTTGTACCAGCTAACAGCAGCAAAATGGTGCTCCAGATGCCACAAGTTCCCACTGTGAAATAGTTTTTGTCTCTGAATACCTACTGCAAACCTTTAGAAAACTGCCCTTTCCCCTTCTGGCTTTTTCAGCAAGCAGAGCTCCTCCACTAGCAAATTCCTTGAGACTGTCAACCAACCAAAGAAAACCAGCCCACACATCAGGATCCATAAGCAAACTTGGCTCTTGAATTTAGGGACCCTTCCCCTTGTCTTTTGTGCTGCAGGAGTTATCAGCCTTCCAAGCCCAAGTCACGAGTAAAGGGGCTACACAACTGCCTCTCTGTGCCAGCTCCCTTCCTTCCCACCTGCACAGGCAGGAGAGAAGCCTTTCCCCTCTGGAGTTCCTGTTCTTGGGTTTATGCTTACAAGTCTTTCTCATTTTCCCCTAATGTTCCTGCTCCTGAAAAAAGAACCAGATGTTCCCAACTGATCTGAAGCCTAAACCCCAAGGAACCCAAATCTATGACATCACTTTCATCATATGGCAACAGAACGTGACGTCACAGCTGAAAAGTTTAGAAAAAACATGTGCTGACATAATGTGGAAGGTGGGCTGACCTGTGGGAGATGCATTTCTGCCTTAGCGACGGCTAGTATACGTGCAGAGGGAATTGAGGAAAATGCCTTGTCAAATAAACTTTGTATAAATCCTCTTGCTGAGTTGCTCCAATATGGGAATCCCTCCTTGAAGTACCCTGGGCTTAAGGAAGTCACTGGAAAATGCTGTTCTTTGAGATAGAAATACAGTTGAGTTAACTTGATATGTCGCTCACCCGTCCTCTGTGAACCCAGGTGAAGTGACCCGTGCTTTTCTCTTAAAAAATGAAAAATAAAAAACCGCTCTGCAGAAGGTCATGAGTTGGGAAAAGTAAAATCAGCTGTGGGATAGGCCTTGGGGGAAATGTAAGTTACTCATAAAAAGCTATGGAGCAAGTTTTGATTAGTTAAGTAATCTGGTACATAGAATTTGGAGCTTAAAGCTTTCCTGTGGGACTCCCCTAATAGTACACAAATAGAGTAAAATATCAAAGAAATGCATTTTCTGAGAGACACAGAAAGCTGCATTAATCCTGGCCTGCTTAACGTGCATCGCAAAGAGGGATAAATCCTGCCCATTCGTTCCAGCACAGTGGTCCAGTTCTCACACGTTTGTGTTTCTGATGAATTTCTTGGTGAATTAATCAACGCTTCCAACACACTCGAGCTGTTCCTGAGGAGCACAAAGAGAAAAGAGGAATCTTGCTTCCCTAATAGACTCAAAGATATCAAACCATTCCGCAAAAGCTCAAACATGGAATAGTAAAGGCCTGTTTTCTCTCAACAACTTGAGGCCCTTTTTCTTAAACTTCCCCACAAAGGGAAGTTCACCAGGACTTTTCTGTTGGTATAGATGTACCGCTGGCTTTACCAGTACAGCATCTCTTCTCTTCTGTGGCAATAGTATTCTCCAAATGCCCCCCCCAAATAAGAAATAAAGTCTCTCTCATTAAGGAAAGAAATTTCACACAGTAACCATTTGTGGTAATGGTTAAAAAGCAGGACCAGTACTCCCACCAGGTTCTGTTGGTATAGATGTACCGCTGGCTTTACCAGTACAGCATCTCTTCTCTTCTGTGGCAATAGTATTCTCCAAATGCCCCCCCCAAATAAGAAATAAAGTCTCTCTCATTAAGGAAAGAAATTTCACACGGTAACCATTTGTGGTAATGGTTACAAAGCAGAACCAGTACTCCCACCAGCTTTTCACAATGTTATTTTATTTCTATATTTCCCTTCTACTGGAGCATTTACTGTTTCACATTGCCCCTGTAGAGAGAGTGAATGCTAAGAAAGAGCTGCTGTGGCCTGATGCCTGACGGAGGAGATGCTAATAAACATTGGACTTCCAAAGCTCACCATAGTCTTGTTAGCACAATTGGAAAATAGTCCTGTCTCTCAGGAAAGCCACAGATTTTCCAGTGAAGCAGAACCTACTTCTCTTCCATTTACTAAAAGTGATGGTGTCACTAAGCTGATGCTTTAACCACCATGGAGGCTAGCCTGGCAGAATAGGCAGATAGGCACCCATATATCATCTGCTTACGGAAATACTTTGTTCTTTAGAAAATGGAGGAGAAGAAATGGGGAGATAAAACCAGCAATGTGTTCTTTGCCATTGTTTTAAAATTCTTAAAATCTTCTTTTGCAGGTATTCAAGAGGGGACTCAATGTACCAAATGTAAAAATAACTGGGCACTGAAGTTTTCCATCATCTTATTGTATATTTTATGTGCCCTGTTAACAATTACAGTAGCCATTCTGGGATACAAAGGTATGTATGCATCAAGCCAAACATTTCACTTTCAGCCAAGCATCCAAGCACATTTCCACATATTAGATAGACAGGCATTTATCACATTTCACCTTAAATATCAATACCTTAGCAGTGTTGGCTTTTCGTACACATAACAACAAACTGCAGCCTTAGATTTTCACTTTCAAACAGTTATGAAGTTTTGAAACTAGATTAGACGTTTGAAAGAAAAGAAAAAGGTTAGATCATTCTTCCACCCTGAAGGAGTACTAACTGGAAGACTCAAAGCTCTGTAACATGTGCTCTACCTTGGTTTCACTGAGCTGTTTTACATGTATCCCACCTTTCCAGAATAAATGTCTTTCTCAATGGGAGAGCCAGGAGTAGTCTTACTAATATAGTATTTATCCCAGGAACAAAGTGTAGGATCAATATTACTTTGAAATATCTGGAAGAAAGATTGAACTAGGAGGTGCCAATATGTTGAGTTATCTACAATTATTTTGATGAACAAAGCTGCTTAGACACTTTTGACAGTAATTTCAAAGATTCTGGTAGCTGGGCAACTCAGTAATGGAGAAAATTTCATTTGTGCAAGTCATCGGTAGGGCACATTGGAAAGCACAGCTTAAAATTCCCATACGTCCTCAGCGCTAATTAACTGTAGCCACTTAGGCATTCTTATGAATGTTTTGATGTAAATGTCTGCTTGTTGTGCAGTCACAGCTAAAATGAGTTAAATAAATAAGATATGAGTTTCTGGTAAGAAAAAGAAAGTGAATAACATCATTGTGAATATTATAACAGGACAATTGCAGCATCTTGTAGAGAAAACCAAGCTAGCTTTAAACTAGCTGCTTGAGTATGGCTCTGAGAGTAGCTTCAAAACCCCTCCAAGAAGCTGGGTAAATATTCATGTGATTAGCATGCAGTGCATCCTGTGCCACCAACAGCTGTGCTCGTAGCAGAGCTGACATCACCTCTGGTCCTTTGCCAGCAAAAGAAAAGGAAATTGTAGAAATAGAAAGGGATAAATACTTATTTAAGAGGATTTGGTACAGTTTGGAGTAGGAAGAAAATGAAAACTGCTTTGTTTAGATGGAAGATTTAGCCAAGGAGATGAGAGAATGTGAAGTACAGATAGAGACACGTACGTATTCCTTTTTCATGATAAAGCAGACGGAATGCGGCAAATTAAAATCAAGTTGGAGGGACCATTGCTCTATATCTTGCTTTGGCAAATGTTTGTTCGTATGTGTGTAGGAAGCAATAGCAATAAGGAAACTGTCCAGAAGATCTCTTTGGGAGAGGGAATTTCTCTTCCTCGTTTCAGTCCACAGTTTTCAAGCTTCTTTCTCCATGGGGACCTCTAGCACCATCTTTTCCCCAGGCTTTGCTGTCATCTTGAGGCCCCACCTTTGCCACACTCATTTCTAAACCTCCTTCGTGTACTGAGTAGTCATTGGTGCCTGACCGGAGACTAGTCTTTCTGTCATAGCAGTACCAAGCCACATCTATCCAGGGCAAGGACAAAAGAATTTCCTCTCTCACAACAAAATGGGACAAATATTCTGAGAGGGTGGATAATGCATATCTTGCTTACAGACCTTAAGACATGTTGGTGACCACTGCTTCACCGCTCACCGACTCGGTGACTGCTCCACCTGA